GGGGGCCCAGGGTGCTGGAGGGGCTGAGGTTCCAGCGTCTCGCTGTCCAGATCTGGTGCTGCTGGGCTCTCCGTGGGATTTGGGAGCCTCCTTTGCTTCGGGGGGCGAGTTCGTGCAGGAGGCGTCCTCAAATTTAATTTTCCCTGAGGTGGGGACGGCTCTAGAACAAGGAGTCAAGCTGGAAAGGGGAGCAGGGGCTGAGCCTGGGCTGTTCCTGACAGTCCCAGGAATGGGGCTATCCCAGAAAAAAACCAGACATCCTATGCTCAGGAAAACAGAGGAGGGATTTTTATTTTTATCCCCCCAGAGTGTGCTTAACTGGGGGAGCTCAGGGAAGGGTAAGTGGACCCGTGTGTTTTGGTGGGTGAAGCAGACGGGAACAGGGGTTTGGTCTGCGTTGCCGAATCCCTTTGCTCTGCTCCATGTTGCACAGGTGCCAGGGAGTCTGTCATCCCGCTCCACGAGGGCCAAACGTACCATCGCTCAGCTTCTCACCACTTCTGCTACACCAACACACGTGTCCCGCAATGGCACGACATCTGGACCAGGATGCAGGTGAGACGAGGAGGCAGAGCCTCCCATGTCTGGCTGGGCCAAGCCCCTCCAGCAGCTGCGGCCATGCCCCCGTTTGCTTCCCTCCCCTGCGCAGATCCGGGTCAACAGCAGCCGGATGATCCGAGTCACCCAGGTGGACAGCGAGGAGGAGCTGGAGGAGTTCAACATGTGGAACGTGGTTTTCTCCTTCCTGAAGGAGAAGCTGAACGACACAGTCATCGATGTGGATCTCTACAGCAACAAAACCTGCCTGAAGGTCGAGCTGCTGGAGGCCGGCACCACGTACTGCATCGTCCTCTTCCGACGTAAGTCTCCTCCGTGGCGGGGGCTGCTGGGGTGGGAGGTGGCAACGAGGACGTGGCCAGGTGAGCCCATGGTCTGAGGGCCAGCAGGGCCGGTCCTTTCTTGTGATGGAAGATGGGCCTGCAGAGGGAAGCGCGTCTTCATCCACGGGCTATAAATTGGGGGTATTTAGAGCTCTTTTTGGCGGTTTGCCTGGGACGCTGCCTTGTCCTTGTGACCGTGTGGCAGGCTGGAGCTCAACCCAGAGGGCACCCTGCCAGGGTTCCTCTCAACTGGGACTTGCTCTCTTTCCAGGCTTTGACCCTAAGCTGTTCCTGGTTTTCTTCCTGGGTCTGTTGTTGTTCTTCTGTGGGGACATGCTGAGCAGGTGAGTCGCCTCCCTTGCCCCGTGAGCTGGGCACAAGGAGGGTTGGGTGGGCAGTGCCTGGTTGGCCCTGCAGCCTGCAGGTTCTCAGGGTGTTGCTCCCAGTGTGTGTGTTTGTGCACAAGCATCCATGAGCTGTAAAACACCTTGTGCACGTGTGTGATCTCTGCAGGAGCCAACTCTTCTACTACTCGGCCGGGGTTAGTTTTGGCTTGCTGGCCTCGCTGCTCATCCTCGTCTACATGATGTCCAAGGTCATGCCTAAGGTGAGTGTCAGGCTGTCTGGGGGCGAGAGGCCCGGCAGCAGTAGCCCTTTCTACACCCGTACGGCTGTTCTGGTGAGAGTGCTGGAGTATGTGGCCTTGGGATGCTGGGCTGTGGGTCTGGCTTTGCGTGGAGTCAGGCTTGGCAGCTGGGAGGGTAGCCGTGGCTGCCTGCTGCCTCTCTTTAATTTCCCATCTCCTCTCCTAGAAAAGTCCTGTTTACTTCCTGCTGGTCGGAGGCTGGTCCTTTTCCCTGTACCTGCTTCAGCTGATCTTCAAGAACCTACGGGAGATCTGCAAGTCCTACTGGCAGTACCTGCTAGGTAGGTGTGAGCCCTTCGGACTCGCCAGTTCACCAGTCTGCATGTCTCCTACTGGAGCTGCGACGTGCTGGTGGAAAATGCTGAGGCTTCCTGGCCCCCTCGCTGCCCTCTGCTCCTGAGAGAGGCAGGCTCCGGCGTCAGGCTTAGCTGCAGCCCTGGCAGATGCTGCTCAGCCAGGCTGAGCCTGCTGGTTCATACCTGCCCAATCCCCCTGCTCTCCCGCAGGCTACCTGCTGGTCGCGGGCTTTGTGAGCTTCGGCGTGTGCTACAGGTACGGCCCGCTGGAGAACGAGCGCAGCATCAACCTCCTCTCCTGGGTCCTGCAGCTCCTGGGCCTGTTGCTGATGTACTCAGGCATCCAGATCCATCCCATCTCCTTGGCCTTGGTGCTCATCGCCGTCTGCACCAAGAACCTGGACTACCCCCTGCAGTGGGCCTTCGCTGCCTACAGGTGAGGGCTGCAAGCACCTCGGCTTGCTCCCGATCCCCATCCGTTGCCAGCCCTGGGTGAGCTGCTGGATGAAGCCTGTGTCACAGAACCAGGGCTTTTTCACTGGGGTTTGAGGCTGGGGTGGGTGTAGTGGGGGAGTTGCATCCCTTCTCCCCTGAGGTTGGTGCAGGAGAGTGCCCTGCTTCTCCTCGTGGCTGGGAGCCTCCCTTGGGAACAAGGAGCAGAGGCTGGAGGGATGTGCTCCGTTCCTCCCTGCCCTGGGAGCTGGGCCCGCGCTGGGAGGGCAGTAACTGGTGCTGCTCCACTGGCAGGAGAGTGCAGAGTGCCAGGCTCGGGCCAAGCCCCCCTCGCCTGCTGACGGAGGAGGAGTACCGGCTCCAGGGCGAGGTGGAGACGCGCAAGGCCCTTGAGGAGCTTCGAAGTTACTGCAGAAGCCCGGATTTCTCCGCCTGGACTGTCGTCTCCCGCATCCAGTCTCCCAAGAGGTAATTTTCCCCTGGCAGCGCGCGCGGGGCGGCTGACCTGCGTCTCCGTGCGCTTCTGAAAGCCTGGGGTTGCTCTGTGCTGTCACCTCTGGCTTTAGAGATAAGGAGGCACAGAAGGTCCGTGTGGAAGCAGGGCGTGCCGCGGGGGAGAAGGACAGATAACACCCAGTCCTGGCACTGAAACGCTGCACCCTGGCTCCTCGTGTGCCAGGGCTTTGCAGGAGGCTGCCAGGCTCACGTGCACAGCACCTTCTTTGTGGCTTCTTTCCAGGTTTGCTGACTTTGTGGGTGGTGCCTGTCATGTCACCCACAACGAGGTCTCTGTCCATGAGCAGGAGTACGGCCTGGGTGGCATCTTCTTTGAGGAGCAGCTCTTCGAGGAGGAGGATGATGATGATGATGACAACTCCTTTGATGGGACATACATGAGTTATTCCCACAACCACATGGATGCTGATTGAGGTCAGCTGCCCCGGACCCACGGGGGCGAGGGGCAGAACTGCTGCTGCTTCCCCACTGCCCTGATGCCTGCGGAGAGCACAAAGCCCCGTTTGCCGGGGAGAGCTGGCACGTCTGCTCCCAGCCCCCCCGACCCCTCCCTGGCCTGGGCTGCTGTGGACTCTGCAGTAGAGCCTGGTGGGAGGACAAGGGGGGGGCTGACACCCTCATCTTCCCCAGGCAGCTCCTGCTAGGGTAAGGCGTGAAAGCTTTTTGTCAGCACAGCCCTGGGTGTTGGCAGGGGAGGCGCGGGGAGCTGGTCCCAGCTGGGGACCGCGGGGCAGGCGAGGTCTGCGCTGCTGACAAGGCGTGGGACGCTGGTGCGGTCTGAAGGTGGACTGGAGCCACCCCGACTTCTGGTGTGGGTGCTTGTGAGCTCCCAGTGCCTGAATCGTAGGGGCAGGGACCTCCCCCCCTCCCAGGCCTGGGCGCTGATCTGGCTCCTGTGAGCACCCCGAGCCCCGTCCCCCTGCTGTGGCTGGCAGATGGGAGCCCCTCTTCCCCGCCCCGCTGCCTCTGGGCTGCCAGGCACCCTGGGCTCTGCCGGGAGCACCTCTGCCTGCTGGGGTGGAGACAGAGCAAAAGGTCTGTCTTGGTGCAGATGCCTGGGAGGGTGATGTTCACGAGAGGAACTTTGGACCTGTCCCACCGGTACCTGCGTGCTCAGCATCTGCCTGCTGTGGGGAGGGAGCAGGCAGCGGGCAACCTCCTCCTGCTGTTACCAAAGATGCCAGAGGGCTCCAGCTGGTTGGGCTGTGCCTCTGCCTTGGCTTAAATCCTGTGTGGATACCAAAACCCCCACCGCCTCCCTGGTGGAGACGCGGCTCAGCTGGCCCCCGCCGTGTGCATGTCGCAGAGCTCGGGAGAAGGCCTTGAAGTCTGCTCGGTGCCCCCTGCGCTCGCCCCTCTCCCCCAGCTGCTGTGATGAGGTGACGGCCGTGCTCAGCCTCCCTCTCCCTGTGCCTCTGTCTGCCAGGTGCTCCCTGGGCTGAGGATGAGTGTGGATGCTCTTCTTCCTCCCCACCTTGCTGGCAGCTCCCTGTCCCCTTGAAGCTGGTGCCCTCTGCCCTTAACTTGCTGTTACGTGGGGCCCTGTCCCCGCTGTGCTCCGGGCTGGTGTGGGCAGGGGGTGGCGATGGCCCTGCCTGCGTCCCCACACTGGGGAGGGGGCTCTGCTCCCCGGCAGCCAACTCAGCGCCGCCGCTCCTCAGCCTTGCCGAAGCACAGAGCTGGGGGGGACGCCCCGATCTATGCACCTTCCTAAGCAATAAAGCTGCGCTCCGGCAGCCTTGCTGCCCTCCGGCTGCTCTGCTGCCCGGCGCCGGGGCTGCCACAGCCCAGCCCCTACCTCGCCCGCGCCGCTGCCGGAGCTTTTGCTGTTGGTTTGTTTCTGTCCCAGGTTCAATCCCCTGTTGTTGCTGCGCTTTCCTCCCTGCTCTGGAGTGAGCAGCCTGTTACTGCGTCCCGCTGTCCCCTCTCTGTGGTTAGTGACTGATTATATTTTTAATAAAGATGTATTTTGTAGGTAATGAGCCTCCTTTGTCCATCCCGCAGCGACCCCATCCTCGGCTCTGGCCTCTCCTCGACTCTGGCGGGAGCTCGCTCTGCCGAGGATGCTGCGTGGTGCTCGGGGGACAAAGAGCAGCCCCCCCGGGTGACGGGTTCCCTGCAGCAGCCCCAGAGCAAAGGCAGGGCTGGCCGTAGCCGCAGGGCTGGCCGTAGCCCCATGTCTCACCCCGGCCGCGGTGAGGGCAGGTGGCTGCTCCCCAGCAGCAGCCCTGGGCGCCCCCGGCTCCCCCAGCCCCCTTCCTTCTACTTTCTTTTCTTTCTTCTGTACCTTGCCCTGGTTTCCCGCAGCCCTGGGAGGAAGCTCCCTTTGTTTGTTTGGCTGCAAGTGATTTTTCTGTGCTTGTTCCTGTTACGAGCTGCCGGCGCGGGGAGGGAGGGGGGCGGCAGCGCCCTGGGACCCTGCGCTGCTGGGGGGCTGGTGGGCAGCCTGGGGCTGCTTCCCAGCTGGCTGGTGTGCTTTGTGCCTCAGTTTCCCCATCTGCAAATGTGCACGGTGCCCTGAGGGAGGTCCCTCCGGCCCCCCCCGCCCCTCTATGGGCTGGACCGGGCCAGCACCGGGTGCTGGGCTGGGCTGGGCTGGGCTCAGCTGCGCCGGCTCCCCGGCAGGCCCAGCTGAAGCCCCTCCCGGAGCCCC